TATAACCATAAAAAAACATTTGTATTAAAGTGTCTGTGAAATATCCACCTATATATTTATTTTGTTTGTTTCTGTTGTCCTGTAATGGACATTTGTGAAAAAAATAAAATAAATAGTCTTCGAATAAAATTGAAAAACAATTCCAAGTTGTAGCTACGCCCCTTCCTGTCGCAGTCGACTGTTCCCGTTTCCGGCTTTCCGACTTCTCCCGAAGTGAAAATGCGACATCAAACGTCAGACAAGGGTGGGGGACGATACAAGTGGCATGCACTGAATACCTTAAAAAACTATTTTTACCTTAATTATTTTTTTTCATTTTGTTGTCTGCGAATTAATGAAATATTTGAGTGAATGTCTGTCATTTTATTTCCCGGGGGCGCAAAATATGATTGAATAATTGGTGGCATGATACTGCACACATACACAATAAGTATTGCAATACGCGATCATTTACTTACGATCGCCGCTCACTAAGTGGTGGTGGCGGGTGGAATTGAAAACGGATTACAACAATAAAATTCAGTAACATCTCGAAGGAATCGCCCAGAATTTCCATCTACCGTGAATGCGTGCTTAGTTGCATGAATTTAGAAATCTAATTTTACGAAAGAAACCTGCGATTAGGGCCTGCGATCTTACGTATCGAATATGATACAGGGTCAAGCGATTAGCCAATGGCCACAGAATTTATATGTTACTGAGGTATGTTACCGATGACCTGAAGTTTCACTTTTCAAAATGGCGGCCGCGCTCTCAGAAAAACAGAAAATTGTAATTGTACGGCACGAATGTTTTTCTTGTATTTCGCTTGCCTCAATTACTGACGGTCTCTTCAATACAAAATGAAATCTGTAACAATATATGAATTATAAATGGCTCTGTGAAATTATGATTGTAAAATGATAATCAATGTAAAAATACACGAGTTTAACCAAAGACTTACGTAACTGTTTCTCCGCCAAGAGACCTGTCACTAACGGTGACTTCTGTTCTTTTGTTGTAAGATGACGTGTGACAAACAGACAGACAATACAAATTAAATGTGATTTAAATGGTATTGAATCCTGAAAGTCTTAAATTGGTGTATGGTCGAGATTTTGCATGTGTTTTTTTTTTTTTTTAGAGTCAGCATATTTACGGATCCAGAGACAGTTCAATCACAAAAACCTGGTGGGTAAACAGATTCATCGCATTTAAAATAAGTAGCAATTCTAAGGAATGTATTATATTTAGTTTATACATATTGAACTCTGGTTTTCCAAACTCATTATATGAATTTTAAACTTGCCTTGATCTTTTCATGTGACAGGGCAATAGTATATCGACCTCGACTCTATCTCCACCTAGAGCCCATGGGTAAAACATGATCGAATCATCAAATCTTCGACTGTCGAGATTGACGTCGAGAACAATGTGCTCTTTTATTCATATTTAACTCCAGGGATGTTTCGTACCTTGTACATGTTAGTAGTTTGTTTATCAAAACCTGTCACTGGCAATACTTTGTCGATGCGTCAGTGATAGCGTTCCCAATGCTCGCCTTGAAGGCAGGGAATATCCTGTTTAGTACTTGTTTGAATTAATCTACTGTGCAAGGCGAGAAAAAAAATACAATCTTCTGGGATAGTTCTCCTCCACACCAGCATTTCGAGTTTTGAAAATAACTGACGCGTATTCCCGGATTGTGTCGATAATCCCGTCCGTAAGCGATTTTCTTGTATTTAAAAAAAAACGGGGAAACATCGCCCACCCACTTTCACTTGAAACAGCTGAGTCTATTTAGAAGTAGTTGCATAAGATTATTTATTTAATATTACAACTGTACTATATAAGCAAGACCTCGTGTACACAGTAGTTAATGGTTGATGAGGAGGAAGCCGCGTACATGAAATATATTGATAATGTGAAGAAAACAAATTAATAAACAAACATGGAAGAATCGATAATTGTTGTATCATCACCGTCTGATTGTGCAAGTAAGAATATCTTATACTTGCAATAACTACCTTAGAAACGAGGATGTATGATACTTTGTTCTGTCCAGCCTATTTTGGTTCTGAACTCGTGTACTATACAGTAGTGCTTTCAGCTGGTTAAAGTAAAATGCTCAATTTAGATACTGAGATTCATTCAAACCAATGTGCTTTTAATGTGCTCAGTTGAGGTGATTAGCAGAGAGAAAACAAAATTCTGCCTGAGCAGAGGTGTTGAGAGTCTCCTCTCGTAAGACGTAATAGAAGTTTATTTTGCAGCATTACTCTAGTCAATATATCTCATCTCGTATGACGTGATAGAAGTTTATTTTGCAGCATTACTCTAGTCAATATATCTCATCTCGTATGACGTGATAGAAGTTTATTTTGCAGCATTACTCTAGTCAATATATCTCATCTCGTATGACGTGATAGAAGTTTATTTTGCAGCATTACTCTAGTCAATATATCTCATCTCGTATGACGTGATAGAAGTTTATTTTGCAGCATTACTCTAGTCAATATATCTCATCTCGTATGACGTGATAGAAGTTTATTTTGCAGCATTACTCTAGTCAATATATCTCATCTCGTATGACGTGATAGAAGTTTATTTTGCAGCATTACTCTAGTCAATATATCTCATCTCGTATGACGTGATAGAAGTTTATTTTGCAGCATTACTCTAGTCAATATATCTCATCTCGTATGACGTGATAGAAGTTTATTTTGAAGCATTACTCTAGTCAATATATCTCATCTCGTATGACGTGATAGAAGTTTATTTTGCAGCATTACTCTAGTCAATATATCTCATCTCGTATGACGTGATAGAAGTTTATTTTGAAGCATTACTCTAGTCAATATATCTCATCTCGTATGACGTGATAGAAGCGTTATGTGAAGCATCAATTATGGCATTACCCATTGTATATATAGTTTGGTTTGAAATATTATGAAATGCTTTAGAATACATTAGTTCAAATTATTCCATCTCTCCAGCTGAATACATTATAATTGAAATTAATGTTGAGGAAACGCAGTAGGTATCCATTATATCAATCTAAAGATTAATGCCAATGTATTATTTAAACTTTACTTTATTGTTAATTTTAAATGTTAACTTGGCCGGGTTTAACTTCTACAGTAGAGGAATTCAGTTGTACGGATGTTTTCAATTAAATGACTTCACTTTTCATTTAGAACAACGCACACGCGTACAACATACGCACTTTGTGTATGAAAGGGGGATCATAAAAGTTGCCAAGATATTCATTGGCCGACAACCATACAATGCTGTAGTTATTTGAACAGCGCCCTCTTTGGGTGTAAATGACAAATTTCACAAAACTACTAATATTACTATTCGACAAAATATTCACGATTCGACACAGAAATAATTCATCAAAGGGATAACGGTTTGGACAATTCGGCAGCAGATGTTTCAATTTCAAGCATTTTGAAACCGGGAGGTTCATCAAATCTATATTTTTTTTCTATTTACATGTACAATGTTTTTACAGAGGATTGAATCGGGAAATATTTTCTGCTATTGTTGAAGTTCCCAGGAATGTTGGCCAGGGATTTGTGTTGAACACAGCCTTTTGTCTCAACCCCCAAGATGGTCCACGGTTTAATAACGTATTTTATCCGTATTGACTCGAGCGCTTATTTAAAAGCCGATCCCACAATATATTATATTGATTTAATCCCACCTTACTCTCGGGACTTAATAACTTTAACAGTCGCTGACATTGCCTCATGAAATATGCTTCCTGCACGCCAAAGAAATCGACAATCGAGTACTCTGATGAAAGGTTTTCCATCACCCGCGTTTGAATCAAAGGAAAGAAATATTAGTGGCGTATTACCTCAGTGAAGGCATGCGCATAATCTGGTATAGCTTTTGATTGTAAACTTTCATTAAAAGGCGATCCAAATGCACTCGTTTTGACTAGAATCAGCGTCCGAATGCCGCTTATCGTCATGTTCATTTTCCTTGCCATACGCTCGCAGCGAGTACGTCAGAATGTCATTTGTACGGTATTTCATAGAGTAAAATGCGTTGGGGATGGGCTGTAGTTTATTTTGTGATTATTTTGCGTTCAGATTTAATTGTATATCACATTTGGTATAATATATGTTTCACATCCGCATCCCATTTTGCCGTACGCCGAACCGTTATGAGCGCCCCTCAGCTTGTGTTTTTAGTCTTCGCGATTTTTTTTTAATTATGTAAATACATAATTACTTATAATAGTGTGTAATGATGTACATCATTCCGCCGAGTTGGGAGATCCCATTACTATATGCTGTGCGACATGTACCATTTTCTTCCCGCGGTTGCACCAGTGGGAGGAAATCGTAACATACATTCCCCGAATTTCCTGTTCGGTATAGAATGAAATAATTAACAAGATAAATGAAAAACGAACGGCGGGTGCTCTACTTTCGCACATCATCGACTCAATAGTCATTCAATATACCGTCAGCTGCTGCTGCCACCCCCGTCTCCACGAATCGAGATAACCTACCTTACATACGCACGCGCCTCGGAGCTTTCAGCTGAACGGTATCAGTCCGAACGCAACGCCGAGTGGAAGAACATTTGATGTATATGGCTATTGTTGACATCCATGACTTACGTATAGCGAGTGTCTACAGCGACGTGTTTTCACTGAGCTAACTTTGTGTCGGTCGTGGTCGTCAGTCGCTGTCTCGGTGGCAATCTCCTCCTCTGTGATGAGTATACCATCTGCCCCGTTAGTAATCCGACATGAGCAGGACGTGGCTGTTTGCGTTCGTCTCTCGTTCTGCATCTGTGATCGCTTCGACCACTGCGGAGTTTACCGTCGGTGCATTGTCCGTAACATTCTGATTTATCACACACCGTACTACATAGAACTCTGTTGATGGTTGTTCATTATTTTTCGCGTTTTTTGCCTTTATTTTATTTTGTTCGTATTGTTTAGTGACAAGCGTGTGTCGTATTTATAAACATACGTTTGTTTCAATCATGTTTACTAGTATAAGTGTACTGGCATTGTTCGCTGCCTTTCTAATGTGCAAATGTGGTGAAATGCGGGGGAATATCAACAATCTATTCACCAAGGAGAATAGCGGTCTTTTAAAATCAGCGGAATACACGACACGCAATCTATCGTTGCCGTCGACAACGACCTCGCAAGTTATCGTCGGTCTTGGGGCGTTTGTTTCTACTCGCACCCAACGGGATATGTTAACCAATTTGACTGCGAAGGCATTCGGACAGTTGGACAAGAACATCACGGGCAAGTCGACGTCAATAACCATAGAAGTATCGGTGCCAGAGTTCGATACTTCAAATTATTTCGAAATCGCCCGCGTTATATGTGAAGAGCTTTTGCCTCACAACGCCCAGGGCTTGCTTGTGGCGAACGACGAGGATTCTTTCGCCGATAATTACATGATGTCAAGATACGTTGTCACTGCCGCAGTGACTGTAGGACTGCCGGTTATCAGCCTTAACCCGGGCCTACCGCTTGAAACGTTGTTTGAAACCAAGGTAAGTATTTATTTTCTTTTGCTCTCTGAGGTCAACGTCCCCTCCCCCGTGCACACATATACATATTACCAGCTTGCGCACATCGTCCGACTAGCGATAATTTATGCGTGAACAGAACCATCATCTGCACACATGGGAATTTACCAATGAGGCGATCAAACACGTCGTGAAGCTTTCGCCATCGTGTGGCTCCGTAAATTACTCTGATATCCAAACTGGTGATACGATCGACCATTGTGATCAGCACAAACCATCTTGTCCCATAGTAACCACGCAACCAACAAGGTACAAGGATAAACCAATTTTTGCCGCGATCTGAACTGTAATTACAAATCACATTGTTGCCTTGGAAATGCTCCGCGATCTCACTTAGTGCGAAATCAATTGCTTGTTACGTTTAATTGTCTGCTCTTATCGCTTCATTTAGGATAATCGGATATATTCGACGTTAATTAGTTTCGTGACCCCGTGTTTTAAGTCAAGGGGGGCATAATGGTTGTTGTATCGGACTCATAATCGGTTGACCTGAGTTCAAATTTTACCTGGGGTCGAACATGTAGATAAGTGTTTGTCCCCTTGCTATAGTTGAGTGTGTGGCCGAACCCACGAAAGTGAATTTGAAGAGCTTGTATTGGTTTAAGGCCCGTAGATGCTTTCGTTTGAGCGTGCCTGGTTTTTATTGGGATAGCGCATTGACGTACCATAACGGCATTATTATAGGACGTTGGTCACATAGGCCTGTCATGCAGTCCCTAGCATAGAATAAAGTTTGTCTGATTAGAACTAGCGGTCCATGGTCTTGCTGTACTGTTTAATGAAAATAAATCGCTATCGCAGAGAAGGGATCAAAAAAGAACATGTTAGTGTATAATTTTCGTGAGTCAGTTTTAATAATAGTTCACAATATTTAAAATAACAAGAGCAGCTGTCATCAAAGCCTGGTTGTTCTGTATCTCAGTCCTGGACTATAATATGCCCGGGGCGAATTTAAAAAAGAAGCCGTATTGGAAATTGTCTCCGCACTAAAGCGCAGTAAATGATTGCATGGCGTAATATCTTATATAACTATCGGTTCGTTGTCTGTTTGCGTGAATTGTTGGATCTGATTCGCTTCTGGCGATACGGACTGTCTAACTTTATTTCAGTCGTCGCATATACAGATCGTGGCCGACACCAAATGTTGCTCATGGTTTGACTGGCTCGATCTGCTATGCATTGAAATTGCACCAGCTCAATACTGATGGTTTTTTTTTCTCTTTTTTTCATATTCATGTGACTCAGATCAATAAAATAAAAATCAGTCAGAAGTGAATGGATGCAATTATGGCTATCTAAGTGATATTTGTCATAAATAGAACCGGTTGTAAAAAAAAAGATAAATTATTTGTCTTCGGGGAGTATGAGTGTATAATAGTAAATGGGTCGGTGATAATGCTGTGTGTGGGAGTGGGGGTATGTGCATGAGGTTCCCGTAGCTATGTTGGTTCGACGATTCGGAAGGATATTTGGGCTGTATTGTTCAATCTGAACTTGTCTATCCACGCCATGTTTGACAGCCAGAGATGCCTTATAATGAATTGAATAGATGCGCCACAATAATAACAATACATACAAGTATGGCGGCCAGTGCTGATACACCATATATTAAACACACACGAACCACAATCCAGAATATTTCCCGTCCAAAAAATATGTGCACGAATAAAACCGCGAAGTTGTCTGAAAATTCTATTTAAAAGATATCAAAACATGGGAAGCTATGTGAATGATATGGCATCAATGTCATTATAGCAAAGCGGGGTAAATGAAATTGAATTGCTAAACTTAATTGAAATGGACATACATGCAAATTGTGTCGGTATCTAGACAGTTACATTTCCAGCTAAAGCGTCATGTTAACGGCGATCTTGCATAATACCAATCCTACTTAATTATCAAATTATAAATATCCCCTTTCGGCATGATCAGTAAAGGTCGTCTAATTACAATGAAAACAATTAATAAGTTGTCATAAATCGTCTTATTTACAAACTAATGTGGCTCATTTAGGGCCCTAATTAGCCGACGCGTGTGTAGAAAAAGCTATCTTCTTTTGGATCGCAGCATACCCAACGTGTGTCGAAACATTGTTACAATGTTATGGCCGTTTGCGTGTGAGTTGCGATGACTGACAAAGTCCCCATCGACAGTTTTCCTTTCATATTGTGATAAAACCTATGAAATAAAAAAGCATAATATATTTATTGCAATTTTCATGGTTTTATATGATGTCTCATAGTTTGTGAATTTTGCCGAATATCTCAGATTGTACAATTAGTTTTTTAGGCCACGCAAATAAACACAAAAAGAAATAATTAAAAGTTAAGCTCATACTGAAGTTAAAATTAAACGTGATATACTGGCATTACACTGGAGACGTGTCGACATCTTTGAAGAAAAAGTACACGCTACTTTGTAAAAAAAATCAACTGGTCGCTCAAAGTATTCGTAGTCGGTCAAAACTACTTAAAGGATTACTTAAAAGTAATCTTGCAAATGCGTTAGCTATTTCTTTTTAATGGCACACCCTGAGCGTAATAACTATACATTCTTCTCCTACATAACCTAGTAAATGTAGAAGAAGCATTGATTGGCTTGACTTCAGGGTAAACATTCAGATCGACAAGCCGAGGATAAATACTGACTAAGCTGCGATTTTAGCCTCAGTGCATTGGACATTTCCTGATTAATATTATTTGAGGCTAGTTTTTGCTAGTTGGCTGTGCATGAACATTCAGCAAACATATAACATCTTGTTGAATATGAACTTCATAACAATTTCCCATTGAAAATATTTGTTTTACAGATGCCATAATGACTGTCCGTTGCCCTGAGGAAATCGAGTGGAAAAAAATAATGATAATTTGTCGCAGTGATAGATATGCCTTTTTTTAGACTGCAAAAGCTGGGAAATCCTGTATTGGATAGGGAAATTGGATCATAGACGTTTTTGAATAGAATACAAGGCGTTGTGATTTGTGGTATCGATCGGTACACCAATACTCATTGATCCCCGAATGAAAAGACCAAAAAGCTATTCAAGATGACTGTATACTGCGTAGAAAATAACAAACGTAGTTGGAGTTTGTTATAGTAATTATCAGGTAGCCATAGATAGGTAAAAGTTTGAGATCGGTAAGAAATATACATGTACATGATGCGAAACTGTACTGAGAAAAAATATAATTAATCTTCACGAAGACGCTGCCTATTATTTTCCTGTGATAACATTGGAGATTTGCCGATAAGCATTACGATGATCTATATAGTTGTGTTTATTAGGTTTATGTGATAATTTATCTGGCACTCAATAGTTAATTATCAACAACAATCTGAAATGTAAGTTGATGCAAATGACCAGAAGCTATACGCATGAATGCATGAACTTTTGATAGATGTACATGTCACGCCCTTGGAATATTCATGATATAGAAGATCGTATTCGTGCTAAGTCAATCATGAACATGCCTACATCCACATAAGAATAGTACGTGACTAACGCGATCGCAAGTTTTGCCTTATACTCATATCAATTTAATTTAAGTTTTATATAAGCAATTTGCTGGGCGAATCTATATTGGTCGTTTTCAAATTAAATTCAATAAAAGCCTAATAACAATAATGTAAATACGTCATACGTATGTAAACGCAGTCAGCGAATTGATAAGTTCCAAATTAGAAAAGAATATTCGCACGAACAATACGTGATGCGTCATACGAGAGCCGTAACCTTTAAGAAGTTCAGGAAAGTGTCATGTGCGGGTGGAATAACATCGTTCGAGACATTGTTCGTTGATGAATAGTTTTCGTCACGCGGGGCACATATTATAATGTTAACCAATTTGATCGCTGTTAAAGGTTTGCAAAATACTATTTCGTATCAAGTCAGAGTAGGTTATCACGAAATTGCCATGATAACGTAGAATTCGATTGCTGAGAATATTCGATGATACACGGTTCACGTTATGCTTTGAGCGTGAATGACTTAAAAATAGTTTTGACTGAAGAATATATTCTGTATTGAGTCCAATCTTCTGTCATTATCACCGTGGTGGCTATAATAAAGCGCATCAGATAATAGCAAACTATCTTTATTCAGTTCCACATAAAAAAATGTATTCGGTCAATGATTACCTCTCATCACACTCATATATGCAAATTCTCGGATTATGGTAGCTAAATATGGCACCAACTGGGAATTCAACTGCCCTCTGTGAATTGATAATGAAACTGAGATGATCTAAAATAACAGATATACCCAAAGGTACTGAATAATTCCTTCTGAAGATTTGAAGATACTCAGGTATCAAGAGGAATTATCTTTGTGTATTCTGCCGAACGGCTCGCCAAAGGTCGAAGCAGGCAGCGAATTTACATCTCTCCGTGGTAGGCGACTACACCATAAGAATAACAAGAATTGTTTTAGGAATCACGGCTGCTGTCAAATGTCACTTGCGCTTTGTGTATTTCTGATTAAACATTGGAATTTTTTAAGAACATTGGTCCCAAACTATATCTTAGTATCAAAGCGTCCGATATAACCCGTCTCATTTACGGTCTTATATAATAATCGATTGAAGTTATGACAACAACTGTATATGCTCTCTCCCTATATGAATTCAGCTATTACAAAGGTATATTGGGTCACAATATACACCACCCGCGTGTTGAATAAATGATACGACCCCTGGGAAAAGGTGGCTACAGTGGACACTGCTACGTATGACAGATTGATTGAGCAATATGAAATCAAATTATTCCGATTTTAATCATGGCCACTGTTACATTATAAAACTCTTCTTCTTTGGGTCATTGCAATTCACTTAATATTGCCTTCACTAAATCCCAGGGGTCATGTGACTGCATCCTGTTTTGGCAGATGATGAGAGATGATGTGAATATTAAATAATTTTGTTTTAACGATCATACATCCTCTGCCATCTTCGAGCATGTAATGTATC